CTTGGCTATATGATGCTTTAGGCATTTGTTTGGGAGGTGGATAGGCAGAAGGAATTTAAAGTCTTGGCTTCATCCCTGCATTTTAAGGGAAGCAAACTCCCATTTACAGGGTGCCTAAGCGCTGGCCCTGCACGTCCCCTTCCCTGCCAGCGGCATTTGGGCAGCAAAAGCTCTGCAGGTCCTGCTGCCTCATTCCAATCCTCTGAGAAGGCAGCGAGTAGCTTACACCTCATCTTCACGGACACCCTGCCTTCTCTGCTATCACCACCACAACGCTGACATCTGATGGTATCTCACGACAGCTATTCAGGCAGCCTTTAAAGTTAACGGAGAGGACACACTTAAAACTTCCTCCCATTCACCATCTGTAATGAAGAATTCATCTCCCTGTACTAAGACGATGACTTTTTAGAGGTGGCTCCCGCCATTGCAACTAATTAGGAAGCAAGCACAGATGGCTAGATAAGTCACTTAATTTTAAAGCAGCTGATGAGGAGAGAGTCCCAGTGTAAGTAATAGTTCAATATCTGGCTTCCAGGACTAACCTGACCCAGCAGTTCATTTTGTAGCTCACCTCATTTTGTCAGAAACTAACATTTCAAAATTACAACTGTGTATTGATGGCCAGGTATGTCAGCTTTATTATAAATTAATTTGTTAAGTAAGGACCTTAAAAAGCTTCTTTGAACATTTTCATCCTAAAAATGGCAACATTAAAATAGTGACTTTTTACAGGCCCGAGACTACAGCTGACTGGGAGATTTAATGCCTGGAAAATGCATGTCAAACTCCTACTGCTGTAAGCTTCAATTGTCACTTTTCAGGTTCTTCAAGGGAAAAAAAAATAACAACCCCGTTCTCACAAGTAGAAAACTGCAGAGAGATGCTGAATATTTCTGAAGAAAATACATATGGTCAAAGTTAATCATCAGCTTGTTTCCAAAGGATAGGAGGCCCATATCTGCACTGCCCCATGACTTTAGAAGCCTTGTCAGGCTTCTACTCTGACAAGGTGTCAAGGAGAGAAGAGTTTCCAAGGTAATAAAGTTCTTGTAAGCTCTGTGAAAATCAATGGCTAAGAAAGAGGTCCAAATAATACACCCAGGGGGCAGGGGTGGGCAGAAAAATGCTGTCTCTTGCCCACTGGAGATACTGTCTAGTCAACAAGGGAACACAGAAAAAGACACTGGATGTACAGGAGGTGCAAGGCATTCATGGGAAACAGGACTTCATTAGTTCCACTCTTCACAGCACTTGTTTTAAATACAGCTCTTTTCTCAGGATTTGCCAAAACCTAATATTATAATTGCAATTCGATTTCTACTGTGCCACTCTCAGCAACAAAAGTCCTTGGGAAGATGACACATGACTACCCTCCCTACCACCAGTTCCCAAGAGGCAACAGGGAGCACAGCCATACTGGCACCAGCACACGGACTGCGCATCTCAGCTGGTCTGGCACGAAGCACCTACCACCCACTAAGCAACGGCATTTTCATACTGCACGTTATAAAAGCAGGAAAGCAACCACACATTTTTATGTTTTTAATCACCATCAGCACACAGAAACACATCTCAAATCATTTCCTTATGCTTTGATATGCTTGATGCTACGTTACTGACTGATGAAGAATCAGAAAAAACAGAACTTCCAAATCCTCTTCTCTTCTAAATGAATACACAGTTTTGCTATTTTCCTGACACTTCCTTTTTAAATAACAATACCAAAATAAGTGTCATAAAAAGACATGCAACATCTCTGTCACTACAGATTGCTGCAATTCGTGATCATTTATTGCAGTCAACTGAAAAATAGTAAAGTTCTGTAACAACATTCTATGGTCCTTTACAAACATCTGCTGCCATAAAGGGTAACTTTACTCTGATTCAACTATATTATAAACCTTGCATTTTAACTTAGTAAAATCAGCACTGCAATACATACTTTCCAAGCAAGTCAATATATAGTAAACATATTCTTTATCTGTAGAGCACAACTTCATATATTTTGTAATAATTACAGACCAATTCTTCAAATAAAGGCTTCATAATTTTAATAATGTACCAAATGTACCCTATGCAAACTAGCAGAAAGAAGAAAGAAAACCTACTGCAGAAATGCAACATGCAGCTTTTTTAGTAAAGAAAACAAAACGGAGGAGGGAGCATCCTCCAGTACTACAAGAATTTGCTTACACAGGCAAAATTTTCCTTTGTCTCCCAGAAATTTAACAACAGAAAATGGATACAACTCCTGCTGCTTTACACAGTTATACTAACAAAAAGAGCTACAGCAACAGAATCAATTGGTATTTATGATAAAAACATACTTGTGGCTAACCTAGTGGCTAATGCCACAAGTCATCACTTTCCCCTAATGCTGTATCCCAGTGAATTGCTAATATTAATCATCTGGAAAAGCAGGAAGACAGTGCTGGAATAGTGCTGAAGTGCTTCTTTCCTAACTGCAGACGCTGCAAGAAAACAAACCAGAAATGATTGTTTATACCCTACAATCTCATTGTATCGGTTGTAGCATTCAAACCATGACTGGTTTTGACATACACCACAAGTGATTTTGCAGCACCACAGGACGTCATTTTGGACTTAGTTATTACCGGAGCCTGGGACTCCTTGTTCTGGTAAAGGCCAGATTGCCAGATCACACCAACAGGCCCCTTCGCATTCGCTCTCTGGCCGTTACGCGTTATTTTGCCCAAATGTTCGGTTTCTTACTGATGCGCTCCCTCACCAAATTAAGCAAATACGTGGTGGTTACTGGCACTACCCTGGGAGGTGGCAAAGAGGGCCTGAAGCTCCCCAAGACTGAGGCAGTATCATCAGGAGTGCCAAGAAGCGGAACTAGGTAAACATTCACAGAGCGTGTGCTGGGAAGGGTAAAACCTGGTAAGAGAAGATAACGAACTCATGCAACAAGCCATGGATAAGGAGATAATTTAGAATTCAAAAATAAAGTAACTGCAGTAGCGTTACTGCCTCTTCGCTAATTAAGATGTTAAGCCTATTAATAACGATGCAGAAAAGGCAGAAGTTTCCAATTAAAATTTCTGCTTCCTATTTGAAAAGGTGGTGTATTGTGTGATGAAGTATTTTCCAATCCACTAGCAACTGAAGAGGCGAAGGATTACTAGAAATAAGTATTTTAATAAACAGCATATACTAAAGACAGCTGACCCAGCACAGGTAACTGAAAATTTCTGTAGATTTTGGCAAGACCTGTCACACTACTGAAGGGCAACCAGAATGAAGCAAGTATAAATCCAGACCAATTTTCCAATATCCAAACCACACTGCAGAATTTATAGCAGGTTAAAAATTCAAAATGTATTACCACTAGTTAACATCTTTTATGTCAAACGGGCTTTAGTAAACCTCATTTTACTCTTCAGGGAGGTATTTGGGTGATAAAGCTAACTGAACAGACCTGGTACTTTTGTAGGGCATCGTTGCAGCATGGTACTATGTCAATAAAATACGCGCTGGGCATACAAACTGGCAGATTTCAGTGAGGACATTCCCCACTGGCTACAAGTTGGGTGAGTTTTACGGAGATTGCAGATTTTTGATAGGACTTACGCACTTCAACACTCTAATAAAATCATGCAAAAGGCAAAGCTGGGCAAAGCTGTCCATTCTTACACAGAGCCAGAGTAATGCAAACGAACAGAAATCATGAAGTAAAGCTGGCTTTCACTCAGGCACAACTTGCTTTGGCACAGCAAAAGGCAAAAAAGTAGGAAAAAGAAATGTAGGCCATACAATGGGGGACTGTCCTGGTCTTTCAAAAAAATTTTTATTCCTTTTTAGTGCCCACTGTGGTGCTGTGGCAAAATCAGCTAATAGGAATTGTGAATATGTAAACTGGAGCATGTAGAGTAAAGAGAGGAGAGGCTGAAAAATCAGCAAAACACCAATGAAGAAAACATTCACAGTTGAAGACTACAGGAGATCCATTTGTTTAGGCTATGAAAAAGAACTTGCACAGAAATAAAGAGCCTATGTTCACACATTCTAACAATGACAGCTTATTCATTAATAAGTGCCCACACAAGTGGTAGATTTGCACTCTACTACAGTATTTACAAGTAGACAAATTCTTGAATGAAAAACTGAGTTCAGTATGACTGAAAGATACTTGGCACAATGCCAGGTAACTCAGTTTTAAGATCTGCACTATTAGATCACCTACTGTAATGAATCTCCTTTGACCATAAGGTATCAGAAGGTAATGTTATTTTTTCCCCAAGCAGCACTTAGCCAGTTTTCAAACAGGCACCTCCATTTATCAAGGAAAAGATAATCCAAATGGCATGCGATAAGCTAGGTTATAAAGAGCAGTATTCTAAAGCTGCATATAGACCACCCCTGCACTACTTGCAATCATGAGCTGACCCCCTTGGAATTTAGCTTCTATTTCTATGACACTGCTTAAAGCCTGAGATGAGCTAAACTGGAGTATCTGTCCCCTCTGCCCAGAGAGGAAATACACCCCAACCTGCCCCAACGGGGAAAGAGAATGGTTCTTGACGAAGGGGGCTTCTGCCAATGAACCACTGTGCTAAACACGAACACCAGCGAAGTATGGATCTCCTCAGAGTGGCTGTACTTTTGACGAACGGTATCTAGGTTCATGAACTACAAAGCTCTTTCAGCACTTTTAAGACGCTACATAAATGTTTAAATACATAAACGCACGCAAGCCCTTACACATCTCAGTAAGACCCTGACTACCAATTTCACATCACCATACTTGCATTTATACTTGCGTAGTGTAAATAGCATTAAAGATCAGGTGCACACTGAGCAAATAACAGCTCCAAAAACTGAGTTGCATCATGTTTATTTACATAATATCTCTCACAAAATGCAACACAAGCATGACAGAAACAAGAAGCTTCACAACAAATCCAGGTGAGATTTTTCTGTACATTGTATTTTTCAACAACTAGAAATATTAGCAATACAAATACATTTATACATTAAAAATCTATACAACGTCCTTTTCTCTCCCAATCTCCGAAACGTGTAGGTTCAGGGCCTCTAGGTCCACCCCTCTCTTTTGTAGCAGGATTGATTCCATCAGGGAATTCTAAAATGACAGGGAAAGCTCATTAAAATGCCTGTAATGTTGACAAATATAAAAGATGTCACCATCTACAATGTTTGCCTCTTAGTTTCATTTTCAAACACAAAATCAATTCTCTTTTGTTTTTAAAGGCAACCTTGAGTTAAACATTTCCCAGAGTCACACAACACTAGTTTCAGTTTTGTGACTACAGTCAGGAATATATTATCCTATTCAGTTATGCAAATGAAAAAGCAACTCAATATCCAAAGGCACTAAAGCACCACAGTTTCTTGTGACCTCATAGCCAGAATTTGCGTCACTCAGGTATGCTGTACATGTTCACTGCATCTAAAACACCAGGTCACTTTCTGTGTTTGTTTAGGTCTCTAAGCACTCACATTTTAATTTTAGCTTTAATTTCAGGCAAGATTTTATAATTATTCTTGTATTTAAAACACCACATTTTCATGGCTGCTGGTATGTTTTTAAAAAAAAAGCATGTTGGTGTTTACGAACACCACACTAGATACCTCAGTCACAGGAGGTACTGTAAAATCCTAAATAGCTAAATTAGACTTTTTACCTTCTAAAACTTAACCTAAGCTCACTAAGTCATTGTGATGCCCTTTCAGGAGAGGGAGACTCTTTTTAAGTGGGGTACAAGGGGGGCTTTCAAATCTCTCTGGTAAGTGATGTGCCATGCTCACACATTAGCAGTGCTTCTGCTATTCCCAGCACCCTGCTAGCTTATGCCACCTACCTGAACACCACAGAGCTTTCTGCACCTCAGTCAACATCCTTACGCTACTCAGTGCTCCCTTACTCAGGGCCCTCCCTTAAGCGTAGCAACTGAGGCCACCCATGCTGCACAATGGCCATCCCACTAGGGACTGCCAAGCCATCAAGTACTTTTTGACACAGCACCACCCTAGGCTGAGTGTTTTCTCATCCTGCACTAGACTGAAGGGCTCCCTGAAGCGCACTGTACCCCACACATCTCCCTGCCACGCTGATTCTCCAGAGCCTCCCACATATATGCTTAACTCAGGCCTCCCTCAGTCGTATCCCTAGGTCAGCCCTGGTGGGCAAGACAAGGAATGAGAAGCAGAGTTGAAAATGAGAAAAGACAACAACAGAAATCCTGGGGAGCAGAGAAAAAGAAGGACAGTGATGGACGGAGACTCATGTAGCTACAGGCAATACCGAATGACATACTGAGATGCCTGTTTAAAAAGTTATGCAGACCAGGATAGGAAATGTCAGTATTTGAGCACCTCTGGCAGTACAAGGAGTGCAAATGCAGCTAGTATTATTTTGTAGATACCATCCCAATATCCAAGTGTTACTGATGTGTTGACAGTGGATGCTGAAGCTCAGAAGATTTCTCCATGATAGCTACACAGCAGTGGGAATTCAAATGGGCAGCTTAAACTCTTACTTTTTTTCTAATAACCATGGAGGACAATGGGCACTCAGCATTCTAGCAAACCATTGCTGGTGTTACATGCAAAAAACATATGGGTACAACTAAATTTAAAGCCAAAAGAAACCTTGAGTCTTGCTCTAAACATAGAACACCTAAGCAAAAAGCGAAAGATAGTAATTATGCATTTGTTTTAAATGAAGCAGTAATGACATTTATTTTCTTGGGAATAAAAGGACAAGAATTAAATAGCTGCTTACACAGTAACTACAACTCTGAGTCAGTTCTCAAGTGAGTCACAATCCGAAATGGCTTGCAGCCATTTCGGTGATGATACTATAATTTTTCTGTCATTTTGTCATCTGGATATTATAGTGATCTATTGATATATTGAAAAAGCTTGTCCTCAAAATAGATAAACAGAGGTCATCACTATTGGTAAACAGCAGCAGAACATCACACTATGGTGAATACGATAAAAGCGTGACTAGCTCTTTTAGTTACGGAAGACAGTTAATTAAAAAGGAAGGAAAAGAAATTCTGTCTTCCTCCTGCATGATAAAAAAGTGTATGTTTCTAGTGACTTTAGCAGCGAGGTATCTGTGCCTCAATCTTGCTAGGTTCTCCACATGCGGCCCCACTAAGGTCACTGCAACACGACACAAACAGCAGTTTATTAGGTCTCCCTGGACCCCACTGAGTGGCTCAGTAAACTCAGTATCTGCTGTTGCTTTTCAACACACTACCTACAAGAATAAGACAAAGACCAACCACAAAATACAGCAGGAACCAGAAATCTTTTGTGGATTAAGAAATAGAACAGGCTTTTCGGGTAATAAAAGGTAACTGGTGCCCTCACGAGTTTACTGCCACCATTTACAGCTGTACTATAATAGACCAATACCAGCTGCGTTTCTCAGAATCACAGAGCGGTTTATAGTGGAAGGCACCTTTGGCAGACATCTGGCCCCAACTCTGGTCAAAGCAAGGCTGATGTTAGGTCAGGACATCCAGGCAAATTTAAGTATCTCCAAGAGGAGAGGGATCACAGGTTCTCTGGGTGACGTTACAATGTCTGATCATCCTTATTTTGAAGACTTTTGTCCTCATACATCATTTGCTCCAACTTGTGCCCACTGCCCTGCCTCTTTTTTTCAGCACCATTAAGCCTAGAAAGTGATTCATTCTGAAGAGTCCTGAATGCCTACCCCTCTTCTTACACTGACATCAGCACTGCATGCATCTCAGGGTCTTGCCTTTAGAACACGGCTTTCAATTTTGTAAAACATGACTTACTTTCCAGGGGCTCCCTCTCTATACTGGACTCCTCTGGTTCATCAAATCGACCTACTGGTAACTTCGGTTTCTTAAGTGACTGCTTAGCAGGTTCAGATCTTCCTCCTGTCTTAGAGCTGGTGCTCCTCAGAGAGCTGCAAAGCAGTGACGACTCTATCAAACAAACGGACACGTGTAGCATAAAGGTCAGAGTTTAACACCAAGTAGCTCTATGACTGTTCAGAGCACCTCTGAAAAACCCTCACTTCAGAAACTAGGGAGTGAAGGACAGGAAAACAGACTCCAAATATTAGTTTAACATTCAACTCACGAACACCTAAGAAATCAGCACAGATAATTATTTTTGGCCCTAGAAACATATGCAGACAAAACTGTGTTAGTTGTATAACTCAGTTCACACAAACGGTATATTTTAAACTGCTTAAGCCTATCTTTACTGTTATCTTCTTGTATTTTAGACTCTAAATAGTAATTATGCTAGCATAGAGGAGTACATTCTGTTTTCCTGGCGAAGTCCTAACCTCCCGCAAGAAGCTTGTCGATTTCCAGGTCTTGGCTCATTTCCAACAGCTTTTGAGTCAGAAAAAGCTTCTGCTTTCCCAAAGGAAAGTTTTAAAATATAAAATGTTGTTCCCTTAGTAACAGGTTTTCCAGAATGTTGGTAGAGAATAGTTGGGTTTCCCTTAGGATGGTAAAATCATTCAGCTGGTAGTCAAAAACAGGACAAACTTTGAGCACATTTAAGTTCAATTATATAACTGCATGCAAATGTTTTAATTAAAAGCATAAACTTATTTCCTTTAAAGTCCTACTAACATTTTTTAACATAAATGTAGGAAAGCCTATTAATATCCATACCTAACGCTTTTCCAAGTGGTATAAAAATGGAGGTGCGCAGACATCATAGGTCATAAATAATTCAAGAGTCATACACAAATCAAAACTTACTTATGAAGATCTCTCAAAATAACTGCTATTTCTGCATTTGGTTAAAAAAGCCAAATGTCCACTGTAAGCATAAACTACCCTCTACAAATATTTTAGCTATGGACACATGCCTAAAGCAGCTCTAACTTTTCTTAAGAAAGAAGATTCAAACAAAATTCCTCCCTGTACCACACCGGGTGCAAAGCACTTGAAAGAACTATTATTCTACGTTGCTAAACAGATCACCTCAGGAAACCTCAAGCAATGTGGCTTTGACTCACGTATATACACACCAACCAACAATCCACCTGTATTCCCTGAATCAGCATATTCATTCATCTTAAAATACCACAAACTTAACATTACACCCTACAGTCACACAAACTGTATTATGCCTGCCAACCATTGCCAGTGCCCCAAAGAAATAATTTTTTTTTTTTGCTTTAAGCATGACATAATGGACTATCAACAATGAAGAATCTAATCCTTTTGCGTACATTGGATCTTTCTACTCCTGCCAAGCATCTTGTCATTCTTCAGCAAGCTGAAAGTGAAGATAGCTAGAAAATTAAATTAAAGCTGATATTCTAGTCCAAGTTCAAATAAAAGTCAGATTAAGGTACTGATACAAAATTGATTTTCTCAGTCAGCAGAGGAAAAGCAAAATCCATTTTCCTATTTGCAATACTTGATACTGTCAACCAAAATACATTCTTCTTGACACAGAGGTGACAAAGTTCAACATTAAGTACCTCTGAAAAAGATTATCAGTAAACCACATTTTACAAGCTGATCTTTGACTCCCTCATCCTTTATGGGCAGCCAGAAAGCCGTCCAATTTATTAATTCTATAGCTGAATTTGAAAATAAGTTGACAATCCCAAGTCTTTAAAGCTGCTGCACAGCCAACACCCGCAATATCCAGTCTTTTGAAGTGGTCCACAAGATACGAGTTATTGTAACAAAGCCATTCACCCAGTGGGAGCTGGCACTCATCAGGAGACTCAGGAGATAGGAGCATCAGCCAAATCTTGCCATGACCCTAACAGTCAAATAGAGCCTAGGACAGCTCACAAACATCTAACATTTTTTTCCAGCTCTTCTATTAACATATACTGTACTGGTCTGGTTCAGGAATATTGTATCAAAAGCATCACAGAAATCTCAACTTTTGACATAGAAGGAAGCGGCCTGACCTGCAGCCCTACAGAACAGACTAAGATGACTGTGCATGTGGGACAGGCACCGTTACGCAGGCTGCTTTATTTGTCCTCCAGCTCCATGAACAAATCACCTTAACTTCCTCGCATAAAGCGCACAGACCAGTAACTTCCAAGGACACAGTAAGTTCTCTCCAGCTACTCTACAAATATCAAACCATAGGTTAATATTTTACTACCATGTAAAATTTCGCAACGATGGGAAAAGAAAACCTCTGGAACCAGGCCTGATAATAGACTTGCAATATAGGGGAGAGTATTAATATCTAGAGGGGAAAAAGAAGGCAGGAAGCCTGTAGAGAAATAAGGGGAACAAAAGCTGCGGCACCCCACCACCCCTAACAGATGCCGTGGGCTGAAGAGG